AGATATATAATAGAATTATACTTTATATAAAGAATATTTAATAGCTATAACCTAGTATAAAGCTAGTAAATAAATATCTCGGCTTCTTTAAAGTTCTAGAAATTATAGAAATATATAAATAGGTATATTACTTGAAATTACTATTATTATATTAGATCTATAATATTTTTTATATTTCTTTTTTAGAACTATAGTACTTGTAAGCTAGTATTATAATAGAACCAGAACCGGTCGAGATTAAGAATAAAGAGGAATTCGAAGTAGAATTTATTATAGCTTATAAGGAAAACAGAAAGAAAAGGAAATATCTTATTTATTAGAAGAGCTACTTACTAGTAGATAATATATAGGAACTACTAAGTAATCTAGAGAATATAGCTCAAGAATTATAAGAATATTTGGAAAAGAGTAATATTATAATACTATTAGCTAAACGGAGATATAAAAGATAAATGCTTTTATTAGGAAACTATTAGAAAAACCATATATTTATTCTTGGAAAAACTATATGAAAATTATTAAAAACTTTAAAAATTCTAATTTCTATATCCTATAAATATATTACTCTTATAATTACTTTCTATTATTCTTATTATTATTCTTATTAGGATTCTCTCGAGAGATAAATAATAAATTAGCCTATAAAGTTATTAGCTATTAGTAAGAAATAAGGAAGAAGTAAGCTTACTTAATACCGAAAAATATTAACTATATTATTAAGAGTACTTTATACTTATACTAAGCTAGTAAAAATTACTTGACTTATTTCTTAGATTATTAGGGGAATCCGTTAGCCTCAAATAATAGCTTTAATATAAGAAGTATATATAGTTTAGTATAAAAGAAGAGTAGTAATAGCCTTTTTTCTTTTAGGTAAAGGTTAGGAAAAATACTTATATATATTAATAGCTTAAAGAAGGCGATTTAATTATATTATATATATTTAAAGAATCTTAAATAATATTAGAATAGGGAATAAAAGAAGAAATTTATAACTTATAGAATTATATTTCTTATTTTTAAAATAGTAGTAATTATATATTAAGTAATTATTACTTTTAATATAAGTAAAATCAGGAAACTTAATAATATTCTTGGAATATTAAAGATAATAAAGGTAAATTAAGAATATAGGAGCATTGGTCAAACGGGTAGTAATAGGCTAATAAGTACTAAGAGAAGTATTTATCTTAATAAATAAAGAAATAAAAGAGGAAATTAGAAAGGAATTTAAATAAGGCTTAAAGAAGCTTAAAGAAGGCTTAAAGAAGGAAAGCAAGAGACGAGAAAAAGCTAGATATAATATTATAGTTAAGAAAAAGAAAGATTAGTTAGTAGGAAAAAGGAAGCCTTTTTATAATACTTTTTCCCTAAATAGTAATTATAAATTCGGAACTAGTTTTATACCAGAAATATCCAGAAAATTCTAAAGAAGAAATTAATAAATAAATTAGAAGATTAGATTAACTTTTCTAAGCTTTTAGGCCTATAGAATAATAATTTATTTATAAATAAAAGCTAAATTAGAATTTATAAATTAATTAGGAAACCGGAAAAGCTTTATATCTAATAGTATATACTATACCTATATTACTTTTAGGAGAGGGAATTACTAGAAGTAATTTGCAAATTAACTAAATAGGATTAGTAAATTATATCCTTAATTCTATTACCTAATATAATAATAGAGTAATTATAGGGAATCTTTAAGGAGAACTAGTAGCCAGGAAAGTTTTAGGAGGTTATTTATAAAGCTATTTATAGTTTTCTTAGGCCTCTTAGGAATAAGAGCCTAGAGAGAGAATTAATATAATAAGTATATATAATAGTATATAGGTAGATATTAAATATTATAGATCTAGTTTCCTATTTTGGATATAGCTTATAATCGGAATTATATAGATTATATGGGATTTCCTAATTAAGTAAAGGGCTTTATATATTTAGCTAAGTACTAGGAAATATATAAGGAGATACTCCTAGCTTAGAAAAGGGGTATTAATTAGTCTTTATTAGAATTAATTCTTGGAATTAGTTATACTTACAAGTATTACTTTATAGCTTACTTACCTTAACTACTTATATTTTACTCTACTATTATATACCTTATATAATTATAATTAAGTATAATTTAATTAGCTTAATTTTGACTTAATTTGATTTGAGTAGGGGGATCTAATTAAATTAAACCTAATTATTTAATATACTAATAAATAGGTATTTGAAAGTCACGTGATCTTAATAAATTAATATATATTTATTTAAAAAGAAAGAACTAATATTCCTATTAAGTATCCTTATATAAGCTAAGCTAGTACCTATATAAGGCTACTTAAATAAAGATTTTCTATAATAATAAACTAATTATCCTCCTCAGAATCTTGATTTTTCTTCTTTTTCCCCTTACTATTAATATTAAGTTCTCAAGTCGAGATAATTTTAGAAGTATTATTGAGGTTTAGTTCGCTTACCAAGCGCCGCCACTACCTGATTGGGTAGCGAGGTAGCGCTAGAGCGAGAGTGCCGGAAGCTTTACCAAATAAGGCTAGCTGGGCACGTCTGCGCGTCACGTGCACACTACTTAAAGTATTCATGAATATTCATGAATACCTTAATTAGAATATAAGTAGAATATAAGTAGTGGAAATATTTGATGAATAGAATATAAGTAGGGGCCACTACTCTACTCTACTCTATTCATTGTTCACACTGAGCTCGAGCACTCTAAAGAAATGAGATTTTGTGGCTGTGGGCGAGGGGTTGTGGAGATAGTTGAATAGAATGGATCTGACTTCTGCGTGTGAGATTGATTGAAGGGTTGGGAGTGCCGATGGGAATTGGAAATGTGAGGAGGGGATTGACTGGATTGGAAGATGGAGCTTTCTTTGCTACATCAAGGTTTTGCAATGCTTCCGGTCAAAATCCAATTCAGAGTGCATGAAATTGAGTGGTAATACGCAGGAAGTAACACACCTTTAAGGCCTCTTTCCTATCATTTGTATCTATATGACGACCACTCTCTCGGCTGAATAGCATTGTGAATTGTGCGACGTATTGTGGCATTGCACGGGCTCTCATTCACGCTGTCCTCGTCGTAGATATACCGGAGAAATGCTAGGCTAGTCCCCCTTGAGCAGTTCCGGATTACAGAACGCCAATTCTTCCTGAGCTGAGTATCGCAGAACCTAGGGGGAAGTTAGGACAAATAATAGCAAGCTTGGTAGCGTGTGTCATATTTCTGCTTAAATAACTTCCCCCTGATCCCCGCAAGATTGCCCTTGGTAGCGTCGGCATACTGAAGCTTGATCGGAGCCTTCGAGGCATCGTGCTGCTTGACGAGGTTCGGGTAGTATTCGGGCGGGTGCTTGTTTTTCGGTTTCGGTAGAGACGTTAGACACGACTTTGAAGCCGTTGAAGGTCTTACGCCGAGGTATTTGGCAGTGGGATCAACGGGAGCGTGCCGTCTCGGGGCCATAAGGACGACAGGGTTGTCCTTCTCTGGGAGAAGGAATCCTGCCCCACTGTTATCGAAAAGAGTGACGTGTATAGAGGGGTTGGAGTGGAATGTAGTGGTGGCAGAGCTGTGATGGTTGCAATGAAAGAGGGAATATTGATGATATATAAGTATGCTTGGTGGGCAGAGGACTCGAAAGGCCAGGAGAGTGACGTAAAACGAGGTAGGCCACGGGAACGGGCCGGGCAGAGGGGGGGGGGGGGAGGGAGAAGAGTGATCATCGAGTAAACATCGTCTAACGGTACCTGAAGAAGAGGGCTCAGAAAGGAAGAAACGCAGAGTGTTGAAGCCGCTATGCTGATGCGGTCTTTGAAGCCACTACTCGGAGCATTTAAAGAGAACTTAACTCCCTTTTGTTCGACTCGTGTGAAGCTACTACCCAGAACCGAGCATAAACCAGAATATGTCTATATACATCCGTCAAGAGTCATATTTCTATCTTGCTGGCTTGCTCCGCGTTAAACATCTTGAACTGATTTATTTGACTGAACGGCAACAGTATGGAAGTAAGAAGTCAGCATCAAGGGATTCTCGTCTAATTGATGATCTCCAGATACTACTGCATTGAATCAAATGGTACCGGAGCGCTTGTAGATGTTGCAATAAAGATTGATGGATAGATATGATGACGATTTGGGATAGGAAGTGTTGTGTTATCGTCGATAAAAGGAAGTCGGGTTTACCGTATAGTTTCTGGAAATTGGACCTCTTAATTCCACCTCGGCAACATAGTTCCAAAATATATTTTAGAATATTATACGCTAGCAGAGGAACTACCCAATAGAGCTCCTAGATTTCTTTAAGATACTACCTCTTGAGGTAAAGCAGATCTTTGTTGTTATGGACCTATTACCCCCAACACGGTAGCATTCACCGCAACTTAGCGAGTGCTTTCTGAGTGGTGGAATCCAGCAGCCACACTCCACTGATTGTCCTACGCGAGAAAATCTGGCCACTCATCCATCGCCCACAAGAATAAGCGTGCACGCCAACAGGTCCAATTTTCAAAAATGATATGTAAAGGGAAGGGACACGCGTTACTGACAACCGACTATGAAAATCATATTCCACCTCAGTATTTTGTAAGGGGGAGGGACGGGAAAGACCCCATTTTGGATTCATTGGTTCCGAAAGAAGTACAGTTATCAGTCCTCAATCACCGGTTCCACTAGAGATCTCCCCAAGGGCCTCGAAAAAAAAAAGCTTAGCTCCGAGTACCGAAGTTGCCGGAAATCAGGACCCGGAGCCAAGAGATTACATGCATCGTCGGGTAGAACTAAGATGGAATCGCACGTGCGCCGGTGAAGTTCTGCTTCTGTCGCATTATTGGGCGATTCTCTTCCCCTTCGCCTGGCAACCAATGCCCACACAAGCAAGTCCCCCACTTCTCTACTCCTATTCACTCTTGTGTGTACAGTGTTTACAGGATAAGTTAGTTATTATATAAGGCACATTTAATTGGCCCCTTTCCCTTGGTGTCTGGCCCCTACCAGTGTGGGCACGGATATTCCTGTGTCCCGAGGGCTGCCGCACTGAGCGGCAAGGGCGAACGATGTTGGACACCGCATGCGAGTTTGCTCTGACCGTTCTGCGGCAGCCTCATCCAGCTTAAATCCCCGAGGAAAGCGCCTTCTCCGTGGGTACTAGAAATTGAATTCACATACCAGCCACGCGGCCACGTCTGATCTCGAATGAGGCACGGATTTCGAAGCCAGCCCTTCCTCCCAAATCCAGTTGAAATATCGGGGTGACTACGAAGAGCGATATCGGGAGCACGATATTCAACGGTGCCGATGCCCGGAAGTAGAAGCTTAATTTCGTTTAAGTTTCTGGCTCTGTTTTTATGTCCGAGATATTTGTTCCTGGATTTTTGGCGAGCACGCTTGCCACACAGAGAGTGAGCTTTTGAAAATTGCGATGATAAAAATACTGGATTGGGAACATCCAAGAATTTACGCATCCCAAATGCGAGGCTCCATCTCCGCTGACCTCTCGAAGGCGCATTTCCTTTCTCCTGCGGATCCGGAGAAGGACTGGGCGCGCTCCGTAGCGCGATGTCTATTGCCTGGTAGTCTTCTCGGTTCCTGCAGGCTGTCAAGGGAAGAGAGGTTCGTGTGCCATCAGATACATCTTGTAGCTCCATCTAAGTCCAATAGGAATCTTACTACAGCAATAATATGCATACTCGAGGCCGGCGGGTGACTAGGACTACGCGTCCATCGCGGCCGTGTCTGTCATTTTGGTTCTAGATGCTTGAAGCTCATGATACTCCACATCAAAGTCAGGATGGCCTCAGGCGAGGAAATGGAGGTATGCATGGAGTACAAGAAGACAGCATCGCACTCCCGTTGTATCTCTCTTGTTCCGTTCATCTTATCGACAAACATCTTGGCATCTTCGTTTCCTTACATTCTTTTCGACAGTTTCTGTCACTTTCACTCGTTTTGCAATTTGCTGCTATCACGCTCTCTGATCTTTAATAATGAAGGTTGCCACGGCTTTCCTGGCATCCGCCATTGCTCTCTTCGCGAATTCTGTTACCGCTAGTGTCATTCCTATCGGAGACGTCTCGGTGGTGGAGAATGGTAATATCAAGCGCCAATCTTGTGTCAACACTGCTACATCGAGAGAGTGCTGGGGCGATTACAGTATTGACACTAACTGGTACGTCACACCCCTGCTACCTCAATACCCCCCCTCAAGTGCATTGAGGCCAGTGCAGAGAGTCGGCTGTTTCCGTACTGCATTCACAGGAGCTGGGCGAAGCTAATCAAATCATTAGGTACGATGTCACTCCTGATACCGGAGTTATCAGAGAGTACTGGTTATCGGTGGTGAACACAACATTGGCACCAGATGGGTACGAGCGTTACACCATGACTTTCAACGGCACCATTCCGGGTCCAGCGCTCATTGGTGATTGGGGAGATACCTTTGTCATTCACGTCACCAACAACTTAGAAAACAACGGTACCGCCATTCACTGGCATGGTATGAGACAACTGAATAATACCGAGTTTGATGGAGTAAGAGTCATCTCCCTTGTTCGAGAATGTAAGCTTACATCTAAAAGGTTCCTGGAGTAACACAATGCCCACTCGCTCCTGGAGAGTCTTTGACTTACACCTTCCCTGCTACCCAGTATGGGACCACCTGGTACCACTCTCACTATGCCCTCCAATATGCTGAGGGTCTTTACGGTCCGTTGATTATCAACGGTCCAACTACCGCCAACTATGGTGAAGATCTTGGTGCTCTCATGGTTGCTGATTGGGACCACACTTCTGTCTTCAAGCTGTGGGACAAAGTCAAAACTGGGGGGCCACCTTCCCTCGATAACACGCTCCTAAATGGCACAAATGTTTATGACTGCACTACCAGCAGCGATGCGGCCTGCCTTGGTACTGGTAAATACTTTGAAGTTGTCTTTGTCGAAGGCACCAGCTACAAGCTCCGAATTATCAACGTCGGCACAGATATGCATTTCCGATTCCAGATCGATGCTCACAATTTCCAAGTTGTTGCTATGGATCTTGTTCCTATTGTACCTTACACTACTGACAACCTCCTTGTCGCAATTGGCCAACGTTATGATATTATCGTCAATGCCAATGCGACCAATGGTGGAGACTTCTGGCTTCGTGCAGTTTGGCAGACTAGCTGCGGCAGCAATCTCAACGCGGCAAAGTCACTCGGAATAGTTCGTTATAATGCCTCATCTACAGCTGACCCTACTACCACACCGGCAACAACGTATGCCAGTGCCTGTACCGATGAGCCGCTCGCAAGCCTTGTTCCTTACTACGCAATGAACGCCACGGCTAGCACACCAACTTCCATCGCCATCTCCAGTGTCGCTGGCTCCTGGGAGATCAACGGCGGCACTCTACAGCTGAACTGGTCCGATCCTACGATCCTCATGGATTACCAGAATGAGTCGATCTTTCCTACTGACTACAACGTGTTTCCTTTGCCAACGGCCAACGTATGGGTTTCCTTCATCATCACTGCTACCGGCCCCGGCGCAGCTCACCCAATCCACCTCCACGGCCACGACTTCTGGATTCTTGGTCAGGCGTCAACGGCTTACAGCGCTACAACTACCGTCCTCAACTACAACAACCCTCCCCGTCGTGATGTTGCTACTCTCATCCCGGGTGGATATCTTGCCATCGCTTTTATCACTGACAACCCGGGCTCGTGGCTCGCGCATTGCCATATCGCTTGGCACGCGTCTGAATCGCTTGCTTGGCAGTTTGTGGAAAGAGAGAGTGAAATCACTGGGACTCTCACCAGCGCAGATACATTCCTAGATACTTGTGCGTCTTGGGAGACTTATTACACCCCAACTGTTCCTCAAGAGGATGATTCTGGAATCTAAGAAAGATTTGTAGTCTTTTGCTGCTCTTCTTGGTTTTAATTTAGCATGGCTGTTAGTTCTTGTATTTAAATTTCAGGGTTTAAGGCGCTGAGCAAGTGGGTGAAGCGATTCGGATCAAAATTATGCTCTAGATCCTCCTGTATCTTTAACACAGTCATCGCTCCTTAGGTGCTAATAATGGGAGGAGAGAGAAGATAACTAAAGTGAGTAAAAAGAATCATATGAAACCGAGAAGTCAAGTCTGCCGAGAGCCAAGGAGGGGTAATAGGGGGGACACGTGACGAGACAGTCGTATTATCTCACAGGTATTTCCTTAACTTACGAATTTCAACTTCCCATTTCATCACTGTCTCCCGGCGAGAGAAAAATCGGTTTTTAGCTTGGGCGAAAAGTGGGTTTGGGCGGTTGGTGGGTGAACCCTTCTATCTTTGGGGGTTTCAGGAGGGGTTGATGGCTGCAAGGTTTGGCTTGTCGATCGCGAAAAAAGGGGTACTTTAGCTAAACCACTGAGATTTGACGACACGGAGACATTTTCTTTGTGCGGTAGCTCGGGCCGTAAAACCTGTTGGTGCGGCTGGCTGCTGGCAGGATCCAAGTGTTGAGAGATGAAGAAACTAAGAACTCAGTGTGAAAGTCGAAATTTGAAAAATTAATAAATATACTGTTTTAAATATATCAAGTCATTGGTCAAAAATTCCCGCCCTGCTCTAATGAGCTTGTTGGGGAAAGAAATGAAGCTGACGTCTCCCATTTATTGAACCGTCGGCCAAAAAGTGCCAGATGAGCTGGACGGTCGTTTTTGGCCGCACGCAAGCTCGCACATCTCGAAACTAGAAAAGGTGATTGATAATCTTACAAGCGATTTTGACAAACAATCAATGCTCTGCCGATTTTATTTTCCACGTCAATCGACTTCCGAGGAATAACTCAAAGGTTGCCTTTGGAGCTGGTTGAAAGATGTCTTCTGTTCAAGTCAAGGTGAACCAGACCAAGCTCAGTCTTCATTCCATACAACTTCAATCTATACATCTCCAATCCAATCAGGCTCAGCACAAGTCGCTCTAAGCCATAGAATCAGCTCTAGGAGAGATATTTTCAAGCCACTTGGATCTAGTTCTCATCTGGCGGCGGAGAGGTCCGAAGACAGGAATCAGGTATGCATAAGGTGGCAGATTATACAGGCAGCAAGTCTACCACTTTTGCGATTGCTTTCGGGTGGCATCTTGCCGAAAACTGGATGCAGAAGTCTCCGCCGGGTCTTTGAATCGTGGATATCCAGTTGATATGCTCAGCCCTACGCCACAACAAGCCAACCTGAATGGAGTCGGAATATGCCAACCAGTCAAAATCAAAATTTACAAAAGCCACCTTTCCCAGGCCTACTGCATTTGAACTTCTCAACGGGAGATGCCGTCTGAGAAATCGCAGCTTATTTGTTCGTCATTCAAATTGTAGAACCCGGGTCCAGCACTCTCCGCGCCATGAGCCACCTTGCTCAGCTGGATCACACGAGAAAAGAACTCACACTCATGGCTTCGTGATTTAAGGAAAGAAGCAGGTATGAAACTTCAGGGTCCTGGAGATTTCAATTTTCAATTTTCTAGCTAACAAAAGCTTACTTTACACATTAGAAGTTGTGTCACAGCGTGAGAACCATGCATCTTCTCGCAACCTCCACCTTACTGGCAGTCATCATAGCAACAACCTCCGCAGCACAATACAAAAACTACACCGAATTCGACCTCTTCAAAAACACAGGCTTCGTACCTTGTCCTGTCAACGCCAAAGCCACAAACGATGCATCTACCACTGATTTCGCTGCCTCTCGTTGGGTCACCACCCAAGAACAAGTCTGCAGATACATGGCCGGAACCCCGATCATAATTCCTACAACGCCATCTCAGACAGCTTTCTTTCCATGGTATCCGACATACCTTCTCCAAGCTGTATCGCTTTCCCTATCCTATCTTGGTCTCTGGCTCACCTTACGGAGTATGACCAAGCAGCAAGGAACCCCCTCGGTGCGAATCCCTCGTCTATTTTGGATTCAGTTGCCGTTCGATGCCGTCCGTATTATTGCCTTCCTCTTCAAAGCCATCCACGGATTTGCGGATGAGAAACGCCTCGCATGGATCAACGTCCTTCTATGGCTTCTCCCATTCACATACGTCTTCATCACCCTTCTAGCAGCTCAAGAACAGAGCACGTCACGACAATACGTTTACACACCCACTCCCCAAGGCCTAGAGTTCCAAACTTCAGACCACCCGGAACACAAGATCCAGTCCGCCACCGAAGTACAAGCGCTCTCACTCACACAACCAAAGGCATGGAATGGCATCCCAACCCGCTGGAAAGTCATCCTCATTTCCTCTATTCTCGCCACCATCCTCCTCCTCACCTTCTCTTTGGCAACAGTGATAGAACACTGGCAGTTCCGCTGGATTTCTCCCTCCACTGCGCTTGATAAACAAACATATATACCCATACCCAACGCCGTCAGCAATCCCAGTACCCTGGGACAGCTTCCGAACACCTGCCTCGAATATCTCTCCTCTGACACACTCCAGCATACAGAATTCTTCCATCAGGATAGCGAAAGAAAGGCATTTGCAGTTATTACAACTCTGCAACTTGTCTTTTCTCTCTTCTCCCTCTCTGCCATCTTTCGTGGAAACAAAACCCTGCTTTCTCGTTCCTCCCAGGTGCTCATCATCAACGCGGCGATAACGTGCCTTGGGTTATTTATACCTGCATTCGCGGTCGGCATGCTGATTGTGAAAGAGAAAGGCGCGGTTCTCAGGTTTACGAATGATCTGGAGGTAACTGGGGGTTGCACGTTTGCGTTTTTGGGAATGAAGAGGGAGGTGGGGTATTGGGATGTACCGTACGAGTTCGGGTTCAGGGTTGCAATGAGCTTTTTTGGTGCTGCGTAATTAGGGCAGCGTTGTCCTTGGAGAAGGTTTTTTTTGTTTGTTTTTGGTTTGTGTTTTTATGTTTTGTTCCCGTTTCACCATCGACAAGCGTACCCTTCACTCTCAGGACCTAGTATGTCGTTTTCAGTTTCAGAGTTTAATAGCTTCCAATATTCTACGTAAAGAATTGTTTACATCAAAATGCACTTTTTTCTGGCCTTTTTTTCTGCGGAAGAATACAATCGAATTATTTTAAGAACAGTCGGATGGATCTTGAAGATCCGTTGTCAAGATCTATGTGATACCATGAACCTAACTTCCCGGGAATTACCCTGAGGAATCAGCACTGCTATTTGTTAAGCAGCTCTGAGCGAACCATTTTGCCGTTCTTACGCACACAAGTTATGGGGCATTGCAGTTAGGTGATACAGAACATGGTGCAACTAAAAGCTCTGCCGAGAAGTTTCCCGGATTGAGCACCCCTCTAATTGCATGAGACTGGGTGATGCAGTACTTATTCACCGGGGGATGAGGATATGTTTCTTTGCATAAATACTTGTGTTACAAAATTTTATACCCCTGTCCTTCCTTTCGTCAACTCACGCTGTGCTGATCTGTCCTCACCTCCCTGCTTCGATCACTCTCGTTCTCTCTCGCCTGCCCTGAAAGGGCTTCATAAGCCGGGGCATGAAACCCCCACTATATAGTTCCTCACGTGCAGAAGCCCGGGGACCGCCATTTTCGCCACCCTCCGTGCTCTCCTCAGGAGTTGAAGCATGAGGATACTTTGGGAAGGATCCAATTTCGTCATGTGATAGCTAGGCAGTCTGGTTGCCTCCTCACCGCGTTTTTCTTGTTCATCCAGTTGATAAAGCGTATCAACAATACGAGTCCCGGTAAGCCTACTCTACACCAACACCGATTTTCCTACCCGTTGAAAGATCGCGTTTCGGTCTTGGGTGACCCGAACAGTGAAATTCCGCAGCCCAGAGCTGGCCTGCATCAGTGGTAGTAGAATTTTAGATCATCGCATAATCTACACCCACTCGGCCGCAGTCGGTGGGTTGCCTGCATAAACAGACAGGGCCGTTATGCTCTGGATCGAGGGGATGTTGACGTTTCGTAAGGGCTATACAACACTATAGTCGCAAGGCTTAATAAACTAGTACAATACGTAAGAGAGAAAAGAAAGCAATTTAATAGTTCACAAATTTATCAAAGCCTCATTTACATTCTCAGGATTTTTCTGTGTACTCATTTCTGCTAAGCAGTTCCTGTCGGATTCATTTCTCCCCTGTCTGCCTTGCTTCTTTATGCTCTGAATTTTTGTAATGATACCGAACCCGCTAATCGTACCGAAAAGGGTTGCAAAGTCTAGCATAAAAGGATTTTCCTCCCAGAGATGGAGGTCTCCTGAGCCGGGGTGGTACCAAGACTTTAGCTTCGCTACTGTAGGCTCAAAACCACCATTTGAAATTCTTTCTTGAAATGAGTGAACACGATCGCCTGGCTGACTAAATCACGACTCCTGCACAACTGTCCAAAGACAGTGGTGAGTAATTTCGGCTACTTCCAACAAGCTTGGTTCATACACCACGGAAAGCACGCAAACCAGTCCCATTTGCATCCCCTGCCCTTAGTGGTTCGATTCATGACAAAACTGTGAAGATACCTTCCGTTACCATCTGCACAGATTACACATGTTAACATGGTGCCACCAAATACCTTTGGAATTGCGGCCGATATCAGCACCAGTTTCTTCCCTAATTGTGCGTTTTGAGAACCACCGCAAGCGGCCATCCATTCGTCCGTCGGTAGAAAATTCCCCCATAGCCGAAAGTCTTACTTCTCCACACCGATTTAACCATGCATCGGTCAACTAGAAACAACACGCTTCCGACTCACCAATCTCTCGAGCTTTCAGAGCGAAATTAATCCAGCGTCCAGAATAGCAGAATCCGCTGAAGACCTCCTTAGACCTGAGACAAGCTTCTTCGCTTTCAGAGACATGTTCCCTATCAAAGAACTACCATTTGAACTTCGAGCCCTAATCTACCCACACACCTTGATTTTGCAGCACGATAACAGTGCCCCTACCTTCTTGCTTGCTCTCGCGGCTGATGATGTTCTTTACGCCGAAGCCCAGCGCATATATCGGGCAATCAATGCAATCGTTACGACCAAGAATCAAGGTGCTTTCGGGAAGCTGAAGATGAGTGAGTTGATGAACATCAGACATTTGAGATTAGTGTTCCCAGGCCCGTATGTTCCATTACTATCCCCTCCTGTTCTCGTTCATAGCTAGCCAAATAGAAACATTTCCCCTGTCTGGTCTGGCGTCTCTTTTGGTTACATCTGACGAGGGAATAGCCAAGATACGGGACCTCGCAGTTTGCAAATATATAAACCGCTCCTCCATAATAACTTCCTCAGCGCAACTCTCGATTTCTCCGCTCTGGACTCGCATTCGCGCAAACATTCCCAGAACCAGGACCAAACCTCGTACTCCGGGCCCATCGACCTCATCAAGCAGTTGCTGAGAGCTTCTGTTTGTGGCTTGTCACAAATAAGCATCAAATTTGAGCCCTGGACTGCTGCGTATGCGCCGTACACTGATTACGGCCTTGAAACCGACGTGTCTTATTACACCCAAGAGAATAGCGCTCGCAGGAAGGACATAGAAACGCTTAATAAGCATCTGGGCGTAGCAGCAAAACTAGAGAGAGTGGTGTCAGCGGATGTGGAGGAGTGTTGGGTTTGGCGTGCGGGGAAAGGTGAAGTAGGAGCGTTACGTTGGAGGGAACACCCAGAAGTTGACCCGGGAGCTGGACTAGAGGAGGCATTAGGGGGTATGTATGAGAGATCTGCAAGAGCTTGGATAAGGGACTTGTCAATTCGGAGGGAATTGTAAAAGTGTTGATATTTTCATGCGTTGATTTGTTTAAACTTGCTTATTTGTGTGTATGAATCTTGTTTAAGTGTGTTATGTAGCGAACTGGGGATCTAATGCGTTAGGGAGCTATCTCTGAAATGATCTAGGCTCAATTTTGCAACTGCGATTCATTATAATTAATATAGAAATAATTATTTCGAGGTTATTAATTGTAATACTTAATGTTTAAGCAAGGGCACAAAATTAAGCTTTAATAAGTTTAATTTTGAAGTAATAGAATTTGAATCTATAGCTATGAAAAGTCGTTTTCGTATAGTTAAAAGGCCCAAAAAATACTAGTAAATATTAATAAAAGTATATACTTATTATATAGGACATATAATTATTATTTTAACGAGTTGAAACTCGATTTATATATTTAATTAAAAGTCTTTACTAGGTTATATAACTATAAATAAGTTTATATAATATATATATATTAATAGCAAATATTAAACTAGATTTAATAGCCTAATATAGTACGGCAGGCCGTACTCTCCAAAAATCATGTTGTTTTGGCGGTTTTGAGGTTTTGGTTATATGGCAAAGGCCGCGGCCTTTTATATATGACTTGCGGAAATCACATAAGAAAGCTGGTTTTTCTGTAGTCCTAGAGAATAATCCTTTCTGGATATATAATTAATTGAGCTTTTGTATACTATATACTATTTATACTTTACTATTTACGTTTTTAATTTGTTATTTTACTATTAAGTCACGTTTTATACTCTAGTATACTTTATATAGGTTTTTGTCTTATTATAGTTTCCCTCCCATACTAATTAAGCTAGTACTTATATGAGATCGCATTCCCTAATTAGGACTAGTACTTCCGTATACCTAGTAAAACGTTAGGTAATATATATAGAGAAAACCGGAGCTTTAGAAATAGATATTAATTAGTTTATTTATTAGAACTAGTTCTTGGAATTAATTATACTCTTATATTTTACTTTATATCTTAGATTTTACTATTCCTTATTACCTTAACTACTTGTATAGTACCCTGTTATTATATGCCTTATATAAAGTAAATAAAAATTAAAAGTAAACCTTATTTAAAATTACTTATAAGTATAATACTATTGGTTTACTAGTAATATATAGTACTATTATATAGGTATGGAAATACTAATTATATTAGTTAGTAAAGTTGTTATTATTTCGAAATAGGGATTATAGTATTATAATATTAATATGCGATCTCTAAATCTGCTAAGCCTAAAGGGGTCTAGTCTACTAGTCAAGTTACTAATAGAATGCGAGGTTATATAATTATATCCTATATCTTATATCCCATTACTTATATCCCGTAACTATATATATAACTCCCAAAGAAATAGCTATACTAATACTAGAAATTCTCTAAAAATACAAAAAATAGTATTTTCCTCTAATTATATATAAATTCCCTAATCCGGCCTAGTACCAGATTTCCCAAACGCTCTATATATCTATATTACTTCCGAGGTTTTGGTTATATATTAAAGGCCGTAGCCTTTTATATATAACTTTCCCTCCTATAATATTCTCCTATCCTATATATTTATTTCCTGCCCTATTTATACTTAATCTATTTCTCTATATCTAATTATATAGTATTTGTATTAATTAGATACTTGAGGGCATTTATTAGCTTTGATTTTATTATAGAATCGGCAGGATTCAATTCTCTCTTAATCTATTTAATTTCTGTAATCTCTTATTATTTATATATCTAGTAAAGATATATTATATTAATTATTAGATACTTTTCTTGAATAGTTCCTAATTTAATAAGGCATTTATATAATAACTTCGAATCCGTATAGACTACTAGTAGTAGTTCTATTTCTAGTATTCTATTAATTATAGATTTGACTAAAGTGCCTATATTAAAGCCATAAGCCATATTATAGAGTTCCGAAGCTAGAATACTTCTAGTAATTCTCTTGTATTTAATAGAGAACTAGTAAATAATATTAGTATATCTAGTTTTATTTACTAGAACTAGAATATATCCGATTTAAGAAGAGAGATCTCTATTATTTATAAATAAAATATTTATAAAAATAATTAAATATAAGAACTTCTTTACTAGCTTTATAAATCTTAGTTCTTTAATAGTATTTTTAATTTGCTATTAAATATACTTATTAAGTACCTTTATATTAGTTTCTGAGGATTTAATAGCTTAAGTAGTAATTAATAGGTTATATAAAGCTTCTGGTTAATAGACTAATATAATATATACTTCTCTAGTATATTAGGTAATATATTAGTCCTTAATAGAGAGATCTTAATAAATAGTACCCCTATTACTTATAGTAGTAGTATTCTTTATAGAAATGGTTCGGAGGTTTTTATACTAGTATTCCTATATAAGGGTAATTCTAGTAGTATTTATATAAATAATATCTCTATTAAACTTGAGATTATAATTAATAGTAAGGTATTTATATTTCTTGGCCAAGAACTTAGCTTTTTAGAGCTTTAGTTACTTTGTTTTTATAAAATCGTTATTTCCGATAAATAGGGTATTATTAGTTTAAAGGCTAATAATTCCGAAGAGTTACTTGCTATAAAGGAGGCAAGAATTATAAGTTAACTATTTTATAGAAAGCTTATTAATATAATAGAAATAGTAAGTCTTAAACTAGTAGTTCCTAGCTTCTAGTATATTATATAATAGTTTTATAACTTTTAGAACTAAATTATTATTTAGATTTAGCTTTCTAGTAAGCTTATAAAGTGAGTTAATATAAAAATTATAGTTAAGTAAGATTATTAATTAGATATAAGCTTGCGAGATATTATATAAATATAGTTCTATAATATCTATTATTATAGTAGTAATATTAAGGATAATTCTCTGGCTAATATATTAAATAGTAAGTAATTATATTAATATTATATGTTTTTTACTATTATTATAAGCCTAGATAACTAGTCTCGACTTCTTAAATTCTTTTTCTATATTCTTATTCTTAATCTTATTAATAAACCGGAAGTTAAAGATATATATTTTCTTTAGTATCTGAGATCTAGAAGTAACCTTAAATATACTCTTTTCTAGAAGGCTAGTAACTTTAACTTAATAGGAGTTCTTATACAGGTTATTATCTTATAGGAATATTATAATATCCGGGTTCTTATAAGAGTATTCTCTATTATATTTTAGTAAAATAGCAGGAATAATAGGAGAAATCATACCTGTATTATTTTTAGTCTTATTATAAAGTTTAGAAACAGGTTCAGGTTCGGGGCTATTAGTAATAACCTTAATATTTCCTATATAAAAGGGCTTTATAGAGGTTAAGTAAAAAGTAATATTGCTATATAATAGAACTAGTATATAGTTTTCCCTATTAATGGCTACTAGCTTATATAGCCTATTCTAATTACTAGGTTAACTAGTATTTCCTTTATACTATATAAGAATATTTGAATTTAAGGAAAGTTTATAGATATTAGTAATACTAGAACTATTTCGGGTATTTAGGGTATTTATAATCTGGTATCTAGCTTAAAGCTTTTGAATTTCTACTATTACTTTCTTGAGTACTACTAATTACTATAATATAGTTAGTAATAGAATATTATATTCGGTTATTTGGGGTAAAGTACTATAAACCAAAAGGGTTAGAATAATATTATTAGGTCTAGTAGAATTATTAATAGCCTTAAAAGCCATTTAAAATATAGTATTCTTATTAATTCTATTAATTTTAACTATAATAATAAGATAAATATATTAAATCGGGCTATAGTAATATTCTATAATTCTAACGGAACTATAAGCTTCTATAAAAACGATTTTAATCTTAGTTCCTATAGTATTTATAAGCTAAATAAACTTCTTACTAGTAAACTACTTTCTAGTATCTATTATAATCTAATTAGAAGAGCCTAAATAGATATTAATCTAATACTACTTTAGGGTATCCCAAGTATATAATATACTAATATTTTAAAGCTATTAGCCGGCTTAATATCTAGTACCTTTATTAATAATATAAAGTATAGGCTTACCGGAAATATAGAAAATATTAATAATAATAGAATAGTTAAAGCTAATATTATTTCTTAGATTAAACTTAAATTATTCCGGTAATTATTCGAATTTCTGGTATTACTTATAGTACTTTATAAGATACTTAAGGGCTTCTATATTAATATTATAGCATGCTTATTCTAGTATATTTCGAAGCTTACTAATAAATAAATAACTAAAATAGTAGTATAGATATTATAATTCGACTTTTATAAGAAAGTAGAGGTTATAAATAAAGAATTCGGAAATAAAGCTTTATAAAATAATATTCTAAAGCAGGAAAAAGTATTTAAAATATTATATTTTAGGTATAAAGTATCTATTAGAAATAATAAGATAATTAGTAAGATTATTAAAATAAACTTCTAGCTTATTTATATTAGCTAAGCTAAATAGGAATAGAGTTTTTATAGATATAATATAGAATTATACTTGCCTAATTAGTATTTTTACTATTATAGATCTAATAAAAGATATAGATCTAATACTAAACTAGATATTAACTTAATTTTTAGTAGTTTCGTTAAGTTTAATACTACTATTAGTCTGCTATAAAGCTTGGAATTAGTTAGAACTAGTAGTTAAGAATCTAAAGGCTCTGGTATTAATTATAACTTTATAAAAGCAGTAAATATTATATCTTAATATATTATTAATTATAAATATCTGGGTATTTTCTATTTATTTAATAGATTCTAAAGTATAGTTTTCGCCTATTATCTAATATATAAGGAAAAGAGAAGTAAAGTTATTTATAAGAGTATTAGTTATAGGAATAGCAGGAATAGGGGCTATAGAAATAGCTAGAAAGCTCTTAACGGAAATAAAGTAGGAATTAGAGTAATATTTCTTTCCTTTATTTATTTCTACTAGTAAGGCTTTAAAAGTATTACTTACTAGTTTATCTTTACTACTTTTATTATTCTTTTCTCCTTTAAATTCAGTAATATATTATATATAAGTACTATTAAAGTATTTATTAAAGTTGCAGGTATTTCGGGATCTAAATTAGTAAATATTTCTATTCTTGAATTAAGTCTTTTTAGCCTCTTATTTCTCTAGTATATACTTTTATAAACGGTATTCGAGTCTCTTATATATAAAATATAACTTCGGAGTATAATTATTATAATTATAGGGCTTGAAATAGTTATTACGAGTTCCGAAATTATAGCTAGGTCTATATTAATAATTTCCAGACAAATAGTAATTTAAAGAATTTTAAGAATAATATTATTAATTAGTAAAATAGGTTTTAGTAGTAATTTATTACTTTTTCTTATAGGTAATAATAGACGATTAGAGCTTATTAATAAGCTAGTCGAGATTATTAGAAGAGTCCGAGATTATATATTAGTATACTAGTAAGCCTTAATAGGAGATAATAATCTTATTATATAGGAATTCGGTACTTTATAAGGCAGGAGTAAAGCTATACTATAATTTATATAGGTTATTAATTAGTATTTGAATAAGCTTAAATATTGTTTTTTTAGGGTTCTTTACTATTATAGTTACTAAGGTAATAGTATTTTATTTATCTAAATTTTAATAATAAAAACCGGGGCCTTTAAAGAAGCTATAAATATTTATATAGGCTTCTTTATATATATGGCTCGAGAGCTAGTTATTATAGAAATGGTCTTATACTAGTTCTTTTAATATAATAGGAAAAGCTCTTACTAGTACCTCTTCTAGAAGCTCTATATATTAGTAGATATTAAGAAAAATAATAAGTTTATAATTAAAACTACTATTAGTTCTATTATATTTCTATATTTCGGAATATATCTTTACTACTTCTCTAATAAGCTTCTTAGCAGAAATAGTAGATACTAATTAATAGTAGTTCGGGTTTGGTAGTAATACTAGTAATAATAAAGGTAAAAGTAATAGATAGCCTTAATTTAGAAAAAGTAGATAAATAGCTTAATTTCTTAACTGAGATTATCTAGTTCCTTTATATCTAGTTTTATCTAGAATAAAATAAACTAATATAATAGGTCCCTAAAGAAGATTTATTCTAATTGGATTATTATTAATAATATTAGCTTTGTTTTATATATTCTTTATTTCTTTTTTGGTAAGGTTAATAAAGAATTATATAATAGTAAGATTTCTATAATTCTATTTAATATAAATATTACTATACCGAAATTAGACTTAAAGATTTTATATAAATATATAGTTAATTAGACTATATACTATAATATTAAAGTTTTTGAAGTTATTCTAAAATAGATCTTATAGATTATTATTACTCTTCCTATATAAGATATACTAATATATCTTGGTAGTTATATATTCCTGAAGTTTAGTCTTTATTATAGTTACCGGATTAATACTATTCTCCTATTTTTTAATTAGTTCCTTTCCCTTATTAGTATCTATACTAAACCGAGTTCAGGTTCTTCCTAGTATATATATATGGTTTATAGTAGGAGGGGTTCAAAGGTAAGATAGTTTATAGTAGGTTTATAGAAAGGGTTCGGTAGTAAAGGTATTCAGATGCCTGGTTTAGATACCTGGTTTAGATGCCAGATACCTAGTTCAGATGCCTGGTTAAGATACCAGATATCTGGTTATTAAGATACTAGATATCTGGTTTAGATACCAGATGCCTAGTTCAGATATCTGGTTAAGATACCAGATATCTGGTTATTAAGATACTAGATATCTGGTTTAGATACCAGATGCCCAGATACCTAGTAAGGTATTAAAATAGATATTTTGCTCTTAAATATTTTCGTCTATAATAAGAAATTTAGGAAGTAAAATATTATAATTCCGGAAGAGTCTAAAGCTCGAAGAACTCGATTTAATAATAAAATCGAAATAGTAGTTAAGGAGCTTTAAGGGTATATATAGGATATATATTCCGGAGAGATATTCCCGTAAATACGGGTATTATATAAGTTAAAGAGATAGTTTCTAAGAAGGTAGTTTTGGGGCCAAAAGAAGTTGGTTTTAAAGAATAATAGAAGTTAAATAGATAAATAGTTAAATAACTAATTACTTATTAATTAGTAAGAGCTAAATATCTTTTCTATAGGCTATCGAATACTTTTATAAAGTTAATAAGTAGTTTCCCCCTTTAATATAGAATAAACTAGATTTGTCTTAGGCTATTAAATACTTTTAGGACTAATCTAAAATCTTCTCTGATTTATATATATAAACTAATTAGTATTAGTTTACTAGTAATATATAGTACTATTATATAAATATAGAAATACTAGTTAGTAAAGTTAGTAAAGTTATTATTATTCCGAAGTAGGAATTATAATATTATAGTATTAATATATAATTCCTAAATCTGCTAAGCCTAAAAGAGTCTAATCTACTAGTCGAATTACTAATAAGATATAAGGTTATATAACTATATCCCGTATCTCATATCCTATTACTTATATCTCGTAACTATATATATAACTCCCAAAGAAATAGCTATACTAATAAATATATTAATAAAACTTTATAATATATAAAAGCTAGTAATAAGAAATACCCGAAATTATATATAAAAGCTAAAGTATTAATATAACTAGTTAATACTAGAAATTACTTTAGTTTTTTTTATTAAATTTAACTTAAAAAGGCCTTATTAAATTTCTTTATTCTATAAAGATTTAGGAATTAAGCTCTTAATAATTAATTATATAATATTAAAATATTAAATAGAGTCTTTTAATAATTATAAAATATTTTTATAATATAATATATTAATTTAAAGACTTTTTTTTAAATTTTTTTTTTAAAAACTCCTTTAAATTAAAAAGCTATTTTAATAAGGATTTTAATATTTAATTTACTATAAACTAATTCTTTATATATAAAAAAACTAGTAATTTAATTAATTAATTAAAATTCTTTAAAATAAAAAGATTTTTTTAAGGTATTCGAGTTCTTTAAATAATATATAATTACTTTATTAATTAAAGAAAATATATTACGTAATTATAGACTTATTTATAGTTATATAATTTAATAAAAGCTTTTAGTTAAATATATAAATTAGGTTTTAATTTATTATTTAATTATATAAAAGTCATATTTATATATATATAAGTAATAATATTTTTGTAAAAGTTATTAATATTTTAATAAAACAGTTTAAATTTATATATATCTTATAAGTGATTATATAATATATATTACGGTTTCGGTTTCGACTTAGTTACTTGACTAGCTCGCACGTGTGTTGCCTCCGTTGCCTCCAGTCACCTGACAGATCCACGTGACGCGGCCGCAGGGAACACGCGTGGAATGCGCATGGAAAAATTAGGACGCTAAGCCCCATACGAGCTAGCGCACTGTGGGGTGCATACTTACACCCTCGAAGCCTCCTGTATTCTAGTTTTCCCTTCTTTAGCTTTGAATCGCCTTTGTAAGGAACCTTCTGCCTTGCTTTTCAAGTCCCGAATGCCGTACCCGTGACAATATACTACTTGATTAACCTATCATAGCTTTTCTTTATTAATTTAATATGTGGTTATTTAATAATTAAACTTTTAATATTATTGCATTGCACTGCATTTAATAGGGCGTTGAATTTAAGCGGAGCCCGAGTAAAATCGTGACCGTTTTGTCGTTCTTGGGTCGGACCGACTGTAGCTCGGGTAGCAACGCGAGACCGCGGTGCAACCAGCTGGGAAAAGTCTCAACGGCAATGCCGCAGACGCCCATCTCAGCATTCAGCTCTATCTCCACCTTCTCTAGCTCCTCCAGTTTCTCAAGCTCCTCCTCGATCCCTCTGATCTCCTGCTCGGCGGAGCTCAATAGCGCAAGATGTCGACCATTAGCCTCCTCGGCGCAACGAACGGCTTTATCAACCCCTCCGAACTAGTCAACTGCACTGTCTCAACCTGCCCCATCATAACCTCCTACTACAACTACCGCATTGCCCTCGCTCCTAACGCCTTATTTCTAGCTTTCCTGATATTTCTCTTTACCTGGCGTCACACTCGCCTCACTGGTCTGTATTTCTTCCTCGCCATGGAAGTTGGGATTATTTTTGAAGTATTAGGATATGCTGGGCGAGTAATGAGCTGGAAGGATCAATGGGGACAAAATGGGTTTATTATGCAGTTTGTTTGTTTGACTATCGCGCCGGCTTTCTTTTCGGCGGGGATTTATTTGTGTTTGGGACGGATTGTCGTTGTGTACAGCGAGAAACATTCGAGGTTGCCTGCGGGGTGGTATACACGAATTGTGAGTTCCGTTTGAAGTTAACTTCACCCCACGTCCTCTCCAGTATCGACACAGGTTCAAAGGGTAAGAGGAGAAAGCAAAGGAGACTAAGGAGGCTAAGGAGACTGAGAGAGACAAGAACTTACCATGTTGTGAATAGTTCATACCCTGCGACATAGTCTCTATGGTCCTCCAAGGCATCGGCGGCGGCATCGCCTCCGTAGCCATCCAAAATAACGGACCCCTAGAATTCCTAACAACAGGCGATAATGTCATGATTGCCGGTCTCGCAACTCAAGTATTCACCATGTTCGTATTCATGAGTCTCTGTGTTGACTTCGGATTGCGAGTCCGATGGTCCAGGTCAAAAAACCTCCCTACTACTACATCTATCCCAGGAACCAAAACATCTTCCTCAAAGGCCATCTGGAGTACGAAAGTTGAGAAGAGTTGGTTGTTCAAAAGCTTTCTAATAGCATTAGCTATTGCCACCGTCTGCGTATTCTGGCGATCGGTATTCAGAGTCATAGAACTAAATGCCGGCTGGATGGGATCATTGACGTTTAAGCAAAATTTGTTTGTGGGCTTTGAGGGGGTGCTGATGGTTATTACTGTCCTCGTCTTAACAATTTTCCATCCAGGATTCTGTATGGGGGAAGCTATGAGTGGGAGGCTGGGCGGTGAGGAGGGGCATATGACTGGCAGTAAAACGAGGGAGAATGGGTCGGCCGAAAAAATCAAGGAACGCGCTGAAGAGGATGCGAGGACCGACAGTACGGAGATTGAGAAGGACGGAAAAGAGGCCGCTGGATTAGTAGAGTGAGAACATAACCACACCCTGAAAGGAGAGGTGGAGAATAAATAGAAGAACTTTGGGGAACTCAATACGTCCGATCCTCGTCCGATCGGATTGGCTCGAAGGTGTAGAGAAGACAGGTGTGTGGATAGGTAAATAAAGACCACTATGCGTCTTGGTTTTCAAAAATGGCAGAAAGATTCTGGTAAAATTGTGACGTGCAACAAACTTTAACGCCGAAAACTTATGCCGCCTGATTCGCAGGCTCAGTAATAATTAGCGTTTTTAGTAATTAATTACAATTAATACTATAATTGTAAGGTATTAATTATAATTAATTAATAATCGATTAGAAGCAAGCTAATTCCTGCCTATATATAACATTGCTTCTTTTCTAATTCCAGAAAATTAAAGAATTTAGTAATGTATTATATTGTGAGGCTCCCAATATAGGAGGGTGCTACGCAAGTAGTCAAGGTAAGGGGGTGGAATATAGGGTAAAGTATTGTGGTACGGCAGGCCGTACTCGTCGAAAATCGTATTGTTTTGGCGGTTTTGAGGTTTAGGTCACATGGCAAAGGCCGCGGCCTTTTGCACGTGACTTGCGGAAATCACATAAGAAAGCTGGTTTTTCTGTAGACTTAGAGAACAATCCTTCATGAGTATTCAATCAATTGAGCTTTTGCACACTCCACACTGTTTATGCTTTACTGTTTACGCTTTTGATTTGTTGTTTTGCTATCAAGTCACGTTTTGCGCTCTGGTGTACTTTATGTGGGTTTTTGTCTTGTCGCAGTTTCCCTCCCACAGTATGGAGTGAAGCGTGGAAGTATAATTGATTCCAAGAACTGGTTCTCAGTAATAAACTAATCGATGCCCATTTCCAAAGCTCGCATGCCTCCATATATAGAATCTAGTATTCCGCTGGATGTACGGAAGCACTAGTCCCAATTAGGGAGTGCGATCCCACATAAGCACTAGCCTAATTAGGCTACCAAATCCAGCTGAACGCTCGCTGTCAATGTGTGCATTACATGTATAATAATAATAAAGCTTTATTTTATTTTATTTCTTTAAAGAAATAATTTTTAATCTCTCTTTTAATACTTAAAGTACTTTTATATCGTAATAATTTCTAGTTCTAATTATTTCTTATTTTAGTTTATTATATAATAAACTCTTAAAAAGACTTTTTTAATTATAATTTAGCTTTTAATCTAGTTATTTAACTAGTATTATTTATATTTATTACCTTTAAATTATATAATTATATATATAATATAGCTATATTACTAAGGAAATATACTTGAAATATATATAAAAATATTTAAAATACTAAGCCTTTTATAAGCTAGTATATTATAAGATATATATTTACATTTTTATAGCCTTTTCTATTCTAGTTTTTCTCTTTTTAGATTTAAATTATCTTTATAAGAAATCTTTTACCTTGCTTTTTATATCCTAAATATTATATTTATAATAGTATTTAAAGTTTAATTTCTTTAATCTTATAAAGAATTTTAAATAAACTAATTTAGAACTTGAAATAAAAGTATTATAAAAATAATAGAACCTTAGAAATATAAATAAAAAGTTATAGAATAATAAAAGTAAAAGCTTTGAGATCTTTAAAGAAATCAGATATTTAAATCTTTATAAATATATATTAGTAAAATATTGGAAATCTTCTTAGAAACCGAAAATCGAAGAATTTTTCATAAAAGCTATTCTTTAATTAAGTTCTAGAATAATAGGCACTTATAAGCTAGTAATCTAACTATTACTTATAAGCTTTATCCTATAAATTTATAAGCCTTATATATATATTAGTAATAAGATTACTAGAAAAAATATAATAAAGAAAAGTATAATAAGTTAATTTTTTAAAATCTTATATAATTTGGAAGAATATTAATTTTCAAGACTTCTAAGAAATCTTTTACTAAATTAGATTATCTTATTAGTAGCTATACCTAATTTGAATGCCTCATTAATATTTCTGGAGATTTTATAAATAAATCTATAAATAAAGAGGTCTTTTCTTTATTAGAAAGCTTTTAAATATCAAGAATTTAATTATTGCCCATCTCGATTTCCCGGGACAACTCGCTTTCCCCGACTAAAGGGTTGGGCCCCTTTAGTCGCGACGTTAAGTCCGACTATTAAGTCGTACGCTCGCTTAGTCTTTTGATCCTTACGGCTTTCCGTACTAGTTCAACCTGCGGCTCGGCTCGGCTCAGCTGGCGACGCGAGGTGACCAAGGCGATTCGCTGTGCGCCTCCGATCGGATACGCTTGGCTCAGCAGGTGGTAGCGTGGCCCACACTCACCGACAGTTACCGACGGAAAAACGATATCACCCCGGCCTTCAAATGTCTCTGGAGAAAACCCCTTCACCCCTCCACCCCCGCACTCGAATATGGAATACTAAAAGCCATCTGAGATCACGCTCAGTCTATGCGGGGCTACCCCCGGATTTGATGCTCGCCTCCACTGTTCGGTGCCGACGAAGCTAAACGTCGAAATCTCTTAAAGGAGCTCAATGACCACTTCGTTGCCTTGAACGACTGCATGCCGTGTCTCTCTTGTTTTTCAATCAACGCTGATTCCTATACTCAACCTCCAACATGACGGCTTTCGGTCGTGCAACGGAGGACAGGCCCACGCCTCCAGAGGTGGTATGTCAAGCCCCAAGTCCCCAGAGCCAACCCGTGTTCTAATCTGTTCAGTACAACTGGAGAGTCTATGCGGCCTCGTTGGCCATTTCCATGGGACTGTTGACCTACGGCTACGACTCGGCCTTTATTGGCACAACCATCACGCAGAAGAGCTTTAAGAGTGATTTTGGTCTGGTCAACATGACCAAAGTGCAGCAGAATGCAGTGTCGAGCAATTTGACCAGTATCTGTACGAGCAAAGCCTCCCCTCCCTCCCTCCATTATACCGGCCACGCGGGTGCTAACGTGGCGGCGAATAGACTCTGCGGGAGGATTCTTCGGCGCCTTCTTTATGTTCTTTTCCATGGAGCTACTTGGGCGAAAGAAAACGGCCGTTATATCAGACGCGATATTTATCCTTGGAGCGTGAGTGCTGTGATTTTATTGTTTCCGAAGGGCCACATGCTTACTATTCCCTGCAGCATTCTTTGCACGGTTCCTACGCATCAACTCGGTTTGATCTACGCTGGACGACTTTTGACTGGTCTCGGTGTCGGTGGACTTGCGGCAGTCTCACCGATTTATACTTCGGAGATAGCTCCACCAGCCATCCGAGGCCGTCTGACTGGATTGTATGTCAAAAATCCGCATTGGCCAGAATTTCGTCGAACTAATGTGCCTCCAGCTTTGAGTCGTCCTATCAGATTGGCGCGGTGATCGGCTTGTATGTGGACTCTTCCCACTATCACGCTCGCAATCACTGACATTTACAGTTGGATCAACTATGGCGTTGTCCATAACATCAATGGGAACGATTCCAAGGCGTGGAGGATTCCAAGTAAGCCTCGCAACACTGAATTAGGAGAGCGCACGCTGACCTACATGACTGTAGTGGCCGTCCAACTCATCCCCGCTGGTCTTCTCGCCCTGATGCTTCCGCTCGTCACGGAATCCCCTGTATGGCTCCTGAAGAAGGGTCGGGATGAGGATGCATACCGAGTATACAGTTATATCCGCAACCTCCCCGCTGACCATCAATACATTGCCGAGGATGTCTCCTTTGTCAAAGGGCAGATCGAAAGCGAACGCGCGATCAGTACCGGCGGCGACCTAAGCTTTACTGCGTTCTTGAAGGGTGCACTTAAATTATCGCTCATGAAGGGGGTGAGGAATCGCTTTGCCCTCGTCTTCTTAATGTTCATGTGGCAGGCGTGGTCCGGTGCCGCGGCCATTAATTATTGTAAGAATTTACTGGGGGGCTCTCCTTCCTCTTCTGGTCGGGTGTAATTCTCTGGCTTACCATTTCCCCTCCTAGATTCGCCCACGATTTTTGCCTCGATCGGTCTTACCGACGTCACCTTTTGGACTGGGATCTATGGTCTGATCAAGGCAGCAGGCTCCATCATCTTCTTTACCTTTTTCATCGACAAGTTCGGTCGCAAATGGCCCTGGATTGTCTCCTCCGTTTCGTGCGCCGTCTGCCAGTACTACCTGGCTGGCTACATCGCCGTCAGCAAGCCGAGTCTGACTGCTCCAAAGTCCGCTTCCACTGTTTCTGGTGGTAAAGCTGCAACCGCCTTCATTATGATTTTTGGGGGGATGTGGAGTTTTGGCGCCAATGGTCTTCCGTGGATTATTTCTTCGGAAATCTTCCCTACCTCACTTCGATCCATCTCAGGACCTTTCGCCGCGATGTCGGTCTGGTTGTGGACCTTCGTCGTGACGAAGGCCCTGCCTAGCATGTTCACGAGCATGGGATATGGGGTTTATATTTTCTTTGCGAGCGCCCTAATTTGTGCTAGTGTGTATGCTTTCTTTTTCATCCCCGAGACCAAGGGATTGCGTATCGACCAGATGGATCACCTGTTTGGAGCCACCAGGCTAGAAAACGATGCCTTAGTTGCAAAGGGGGAAGAAGTATATCCCCAGACCAAGGAAGATGAAGTCCGAGCAGAGGTTGTTTAGCGCGCTGCTACTTGTATTCTCGATCTTATCATATGATATGTCTATATATTGTAAGGAAGAGGCGAGGTCCATGCGACCAAAAAAACTGTGACGAGCGATTTCTTGGAAGAAATACTATAGACTCCTATATATCTTAGTGAGGAGTGTCGGGCACGTGACCCTGAGACATATTCCTAATCCGTGGTCCAGAATCTCTTCGTGACTTTCTCGACTTCAATATCTCCTACCTCATCTCGTGCTCATAATACCACCTGCGCCGGAAGCTCAAAGTTAGGGCGTGTCCTTGCCAACCACACGTGCGCCCCATTTATCATAATCCCATTTTAAATTAAATTACCGTTCTCTAACACCACCACATAAAATCGCCATATGACTGTTTCATATGAAATTATATGGCACTACCATAAGGTCATGTTCTTTGTACGATATTAAAAGTTGATCGCGGCTAGCTTTTAACCCGGGTTAGGCTTCATTCAACCAATTATGCCTCATTAATAAGGTTTAATATTAATTCCACAGACTAGAATTTATCAGGGCTCGTCCTGCCAATCTCTCATATGCCAACGGGTGCAATATATATTCGACCATAATTCCATCTCTTCTAGCTTCGTCTCCTAATCGTGCGCATTAGCGGTTGATTTTGTCAAAGGCATTATTCCTTTCGCGCTCGATTGCCTATAGTTAAAGACGAAATCTCTGCAATTAAAGGCTCCTTCGAGCGAAAATCAGATGATCCGATAATAAGATGTAACTTCAAAGCCCAAAGGAAGATCTTTCTAAGCAGTTAGCAAAGCGGGGTAATAGCACGGCCTTTAAAAGTGGAGATATTATGCCAGACGGTGAGCTTACCACTATTAAATAGAAGGTACGGAGGACGCGGCCATAAGTCTTGCAACCGGCAAAGGTGAGCGCCAAGCCTTAGGACGCCACAAGCCGCTGACCTAGCAACGACACTGGGGGCTTGATAGCCTGGAGAAATAGCAAGTTTAGCGATATTTATAGGGCCTGTGCGCTATCTTTTGGTTCTCGAAAGCCTATGATAGAGCCCTGTAATTACAGCGCCCTCTGGTTGCCGTGCAACGCCCCTACCACTTAAGCGAAAAGTGGCGCTGACCCTAGTAGTTGCAAGACTTACTCCGTATGGCCGCGTCCTCCGTAAAAGAACACGATTGCAATATTATCGTATGGGATTATACAACATCTTATTTAAAATTAAATGGGATATGGAATTATATGGTATGGTGACATATGAGAGGTTGGCAGGACGGGCCCTTAGATGAATTCACTCAAACTTTTACTGAAAAGTCCCAAATTTTCATTATGAGAAGGTCTATCCTATCTGGTAAGGGAGAACTCTTGCTGCTAGAGTTCATGCGCAGCGACTCCCAGCCTCCGGCGCCGAACAGTCTGTCAGATTTAAATGCTAGATATCTACTCGTAGTAGGGATAAATAAACCCATGCCTTGTCTGGATCCACAGACGCCGCAGTAAGGGGTATGGGCGAATAAGACAGCTGGAATTCAATGTTTTGTGGAGGCGAACCCGCTAGAAACACGCTTCAGGGTAGGGGTTTATTTATCCCAACCACTAAGTAGTAGTGAAAGCCGCTTCTGAGTAATCTAAAACAGCTTAGCGTCTATGCCTTGCAAATTCTTCCGCGGGTAACTGTCCGGGTACTTTACTAGGATCCCCTGCTAGTTTCGAGAGCTGAAATATCACAACCCGCTTACTCTCTTCTGTCTTTTCAAACAAAACGAATGCACTATCAATGGTCGATTGGCACTAATCGTTGCCGCTGTGACATCAAGGGCTCTCTTACCCGGCAACATGTCACAAAACCCGGATAATAAGGGGGAGGCTCGGCCCGGGCCCGCTGAAGAAGCCGAACAACCACAAGTTCCCGCGCCTCGAAAGGCACCAGTGCGATTTCAAGATCCCGTTGAGCAACCGTCTGAAAGAGCAGTTGATGCATGGCCAGTGTCCTATCGGAATTCTCCTCAGGAGCGTGAACAACCACAGTCTTCGGACAGGACTAGGAGGTACCAACCATTTTATGAGGACGAGGATGAGCGCGCTGAGGGAAGGGCTTCTTCTTCCTCTGTACTTGGAGAGATCGAGAGGGAAAGAGAATCACCGACGCCGATTTCAGGAGATAGAAGGGTTGAGGGTGATCAGCACTTTTCGGAAAATAATGATGGGGTGCGACTGCACCCTCGTGATGAGAGTCCTCCGCCGTTTCTTCCACAGAAAGTGAGAACTGGGTCTGGCGACAGTGATGAGCTAGACCTCCATATAAGACGCGATCGACAGTCTTCATACGGAGCAGGGCGATCTAGGGATCGACCCTCGGCGCCAACCGCTTATACACAGTGGGAAACCCAGCCACGGCGGAGGGTGGTCGAAACTCGAGAACGCAGTGGAAGTTATCATGATGAGGATGAAGAGCTCGATATCCGAGTTCCATCTCACCAAAGATCTTCACAACGACGAGAAGGGTCTGGCTATTACGATGAGGATGATGAGCTCGATATTCGGGTTCGCCGTGGCCGTGCCACTCCAGCACCTGTGTTTTATCCCGAACATCGCTACCGGCCCATACCTCATCCAGAACACCGTGGAACAAGTACGTATTACGACGAGGATGACGAGCTGGATATTCGAACTCGAAGAGATTATATTTACCCAGCGCCGGTGGCCTATCCAGAACATCGCTATCGGCCTGCACCTCGTCCGTACTATGGGGGGAGCACCGGTTACCTCGTCCCTACCTCTAGCCGAGAGCGGAGGGAGGCGTACGAACTTGAAGTGACTCGAAGAGAACTAGACGCATACAAACTTGCTCAAGCCCGGGAGGGTTATGAGGTGGAAAAAACTAGAAGAGAGCTTGACGCGTATAAACGTGCTCAAAATCGTGAAGAGTACGAGTTGGAGAGATCGCGTACGGTAACTAATCCGTTCAGCCCCACTAGCCGCACACGCAGCCGTTCAAGAATACCACCATCGCCAGCCCCAGTAATTATCAACGATCGAATTTACAACGATTTCGAAGACGATGACTACGAAGACACTGCCATCAGAAGATCTCGTAGCCGGTCGCGTTCTGGACCCGTACTTTTGCCGGAACCCGTCATAATCAACAATACCCGTGCGTACAGTGACGATGGGGATAGCCAGTATCGTGCCCTAATTCTCAATCGGCGCTTACCGGAGGTCGACCTTGATGCCGTTACACAGGCATATTCGTTCTCTCTTTCACGTCATACCAGGAATTCAGAAAGCACTCGGAGCATATCAGGATCCATGTCTGATGTTTCAGAACAGAGCGAACCTTCACAAGAAGAACCTCTCAAGATGCCTTCCAGTTCGGGCAGAACCCATAACGTACTTCGCTCTCAGTATATGGGAGATGGTCTAGTTAGTGGACAGCATGCTGTAGAACTGACAGTCGCATCTGAATCAGATCTCAGTAGACGGAAAAATATCTCGCCAATTTTCAGATGGGTGTCAGGCCACCTTTGTCTCTTCAATGATATGCAGATGCTGACTATTTCCAGGCACTTCGAAGATCTGAACATGGATCTTGAACAGTTCCAGGTACCCAACTTAAAATCCTTCCCAAAAATCGTACCTAACGTTATTTCTAGACCAATGCTCTTAGTATCAGCCATCTCACGGATGCAGAGAGAAGTGCCATTTCAAAGCTACTCGCCCAGGCAAAGAAGAAATATGACAGACCACGCCAGACGGCGAGAAACATGGCTCCTTCATTTCTTCAAGACAACATATCTGGAGAAATGAGGCCCAAATCGTCAAGAGCTAGGACTGTATCATGGCTGTGTGTGCCTTACTTCTGTCTTGCTAGATACGCCACATCATCAAGCTTAAGGCCTTCTTCTCATCCCATGAGAACCCTTCTTCAGGCTCGATATTCACAGGTGCAGAAGAAAAGGGACATGGAGCAAGCCGTGTGTCAGGTATCAGGTGCACCCCCAGAGCATTGCTTCTATATCGGTCAAATCTGGATCCTCATATTGGATGACTGTACGTACCGGCTCTCGTACAGATATGTGCACGATAAGCTAACGTTAGAAGCTCTCATCGTGTCATGTGCCCAATCACCAATTTCCTCACTGCAAGGAGAGTCCATAACAATCGTCCCAAATCCTACAGAAAGCTCTACGACCCTTTCACAAAACATACTTATTTACACTAAGAACTCTCTGCTCTGGTCTCTCCCAGTGAATGAATGTCAAGATTGGTTTGTACGTATCCACTATCCCCGTGCCATTCGATGTGCTCACATCGACTAGGCCTTCGTATCACATTTTTGGGAGTATTGGCCGCGGCCCTTTCAGATCACTCATCACGAGAAAGCCATCACGGCAGAGGATTGGCCCGAAGTATTTGTGATTGCGAAGAAATCCAGTATACGGTTGTCCATTGATTTCCGGTACGTTCATAAACAAGATCCTTTGCTCCGGGTTTTGAGTCATCACTAAAGTATGCAGACCAAATACAAAAGAACCTGCGAAAGGTATTCTTCTCGAAGATCCCATTTTGGAAGAGGGAGCGACCAAGGATACCACTGATACAGCATCCGATACTTCTGAATCGAAACGTTCTTCAAGACCATTTCTGCGAGTCAGAGACCAAAGAAGATCAAAGTCAGACGTCTCGCCGCACGGGAACAAAGACGGATTTCATATTTTCACGTGGAGTATCCCAACCGATGAATCTCGCAATACAAGTCCCGCACCGCCCGCAGTCAATATAAGCCAGGACTTTCCAAATGTCGAGGGCCCAAAGCTCGAAGAGGATCAGAAAGAAATCGACGACTTTCTCCGTCTTAAAACTAATCTCAACGATCGCCTTGCGTACCGAGCGTGCCCCCTTTCGAAGAGGATAGACCTCTATAAAGCTCTTGCTAAAGAGCGGACCGAGCTGAGCTCTGGAACAGATACCGATCAGCCCGATCAAAATCGTCGCAAACGCTACGAAACAAAAGTCGACGTCTTGAATGCTGCAGACTCGATACTTCAATTCTTCTTACCATCAGACTTGCAAAGTATGACGGCCCAAAAGTACTGGGGAGCTTTGTATCGACTTTGGGAGGTAAGTTTCTTGAACGTACGATTCAATCTGGTACTGACTCAAATCTAGACGGCAGTTCCCCAGTCTGACTTTGTTGGCAATGTTTCGGGACCACCGCTACCGGATATCTATCCCCACAGAGGTGACAGAGACTGCCAAGATCTTGTAGAATGGCTTCAAATAATCAACCGAGGCATCACACCATTCCGAGATTTGATGTCTCAAGTACCTGCCTCTGATCGAACCGGCATTCAAATTCCCGAAGAACTCGAAAGGGCTTGGCTTCATCTGCTCTTGTCTTTTGCATTTCTTGTGTGGGAGGACATGCAGGTTTTCGATGAGCAAATGGTCATATGCAACAATCTCCTAGAGTTGGGTATGAAGAAAATCATTCAGAATATGTCTACTGTGCGGCTGTCCAATTACGCTGTTTTCCCGCCGTCCGAGTTTGCATCATTACTCACTTTTCAGCTCTTGCAAGATGTGAATGATTCCGCTTTGGATTTGGACATCTCAGAGATTTATCTGGAGTACCTCAAATCATTAGTAAGTCGCCGCAGTCCAAATCCGCTTGTAATATTTACTAACCTTCACAGGAGTCTGAAATCGAGTCCAACCCACTGGATCGTGGCCACCAAAATCGAATCGTCTCCTTGAAGCAGGAGATCTCCGTAATTAGCGAGACTCTATTCCATCAGCAACGAATTCTAAGGTTAGCACAAGTCGGTTTCAGCCATTCACGAGTGGTCACTCAGGCAGATTTCGAGCCTCACGCTCACGAAGCCGTCAATTAGCATGCTATGGATCCCGAGAACCAAAACATAAAAGTGCAGCATATGTCGACAACGATCCATTACCACGTCCTGTGCAGACCAATGGTGCGGCAGGGCCAAACATAGACCCAAGCGGAGTCCATGGCCTGCTGCTTCAGGACGGTTTAGCCGTAGTAGAGAAGCGCATCAGAGAGTTCAGAGAGATGTATGATCGAGCTTCTGATCTGGGAGATTGGGTACGTTGACTACTATACTGCTTGACAAAGCCCCTCACGCTAACAACGGCCTATCACAGAATATCCAGAAAATTGATTCAAACAAAGACCGCCAAGAAGCAGCCATCTACGCCTTCACCATCGTAACCATCATCTTCCTGCCTCTGAGCACCGTCGCGTCCATCCTTGGCATGAACACCTTCGACGTGCGGAACATGACAGTCAACCAATGGGTCTTCTGGGCTACCGCGCTCCCTCTCATGATTTTGATTATTACCTTGTGCTTGATTTGGGCGGGAGAGTTGAAGAATTTTTGGGAGGGATTTACGAAGCTTTGGGGTGGAAATGGGAGGAAGGAATATGTTATGATGGATGAGGGTTTCGAGAGGAGGGACGGGTATTTTGATACCCCGGTGAGGGCAATGAGTCGAAAGGGGGATGGGCCGAGGAGACGCCATGTTTTGCATGGTGGGGTGAAGGAGAGTTATGTTTGAGTTTTGGGATACTCTACTGTTTGAACAATTCAGCGCCGGCTGCCACCTATTCTTACCAGTCACATGTCAGCTACCAGGCAACATAACCTGACTATCGAGCTTCGTCGATGCAAGGTTTGTCATTATATTTTTCTCTTAGCTGGCCTTTTCCCATAGACGCGAGCACGCTTATTCTCTACTCGATCTCGGCTTTCTAGTTCTTAATACTATAAGCTAAATAAAACTAGGCCCTCTTATTTCTTCCCTATTTTATATGTTTTCGAAATAAGTTTTTATAGCTCTTTTATTTTTTTACTAAGCCTTAAAAGCTTATATATTATATACAAAAAGAATTTCTTATTTATAATCCCAAAACTAAATTAGAATCAAGTTTATTCATTTCTTTATATAAGTTATTAGTATAAATATAAACTTAATTAAATATATAACTAGTAAATTGAGTTTTAATAAAAGAAAAGAAGTATTATATAAAATAAATATAAAGATTAGAATATAAAGTAATAAAATTAAGTATTTATATTTCGAGTTTACTTTTAAGCTATTTTTTTAAAGTACTTTATAATAATAATTATTATAATATTCGAATATTATAATTATTTTACTAGTAATACTTTAGCCCTAAAGGATTTTTTATAATCTTATAAATCTTTTATAGCCTTAATTTAAGGCTTTAAAGCTAGAGTTATAAAACTTATAATAATATAATATTTAAAATTATATTTTAAAGTTTATTAAAGTATTTATATAAATATAAATACTTTATATTATTATTATTTTATATTATAATCTTTATATAAATAAAAGAAATAAGAAATAATCTAGATATTAAATACTTTTAATAAGAGAAAAAGAAGTAAAATAATTATATAATATTATAATATACTAGACCAAAAGACTATAATATTTACTATAGATAAATATGTCTAATTATAGTTAAATAGCTAAACTATAATTACGTGATTTTATATATATAATAAATATTATAAATAATTTTTTTAAAAAAAGTTATAACTATTATAAAACCGGGTCTCTGGGTTTAGAAAGCAGGTAGAGCGGCTCTTAATCCGAGAATTCTAAACTAAGAAGGAAAGCTCTGAATATAGGAGCTTTAGTATTCTAAATACTAGCCAGCCGTATACGTTATCGCGATCACGTGACGCTAAATTTACTAGTAAAGCAGTAGAGCGCAATAATAACTTTTAGAATATAGCAAGCTATATTTTATAAAAAATCACGTTATTTTAGTAATTTTGGGGTTTTAATTATATAATAAAAGTTAAAGCCTTTATTATATAACTTAAAGAAATTATATAATAAAAGTTAAAGACTTTATTATATAACTTAAAGAAATTATATAAGAAAGCTAGCTCTTTTTATAATTTTAAATAAATAATCGTTTTTTATATTATTTAATTAAGCTTTTTATAATTATATATTATTTATATTTTATTATATATATTTTTATTTATATAATTTTATTTTATATTCTAGTATATTTTATATAATAGTACTAGCTAGAGGCTAAAAAGAAATAGCTATTATATAACTAGTTTTACCTAGCTAGCTAATATTTTAGTAGTTTTAGCTAGTATTTCCTTTCTTTTATTTCTCTCTTTAGCTTAATATTTTTAATATATAAAATTCTTGAATCTTTAAACTCTAGCTATTGCCTTGATTCTACTATTATACTTTATATAAGTTTTTATCTTATTATAATTTTTTTCTATTATAGCTTTCTTTTTTAAAGCCTTTTATAAGACTTTATTAATTAAGTTAAATTAATTTCTTATAAGAGCCTTAATTAATAAGATTTTTAATATAATAAATAATTATAAAAATTCGAAAATATATATTTTACTTATAACTTTTAAAAAAAACTATAATTTAAGAAAGCTTTATATATAATTAAAAATATATTTTTCAAATACTCTTAAAAGAGAATTACTTGTATAACCTGTGCCGAAACTAGAACTTACTAAAGCCCATAAGTAAATTCGAGCGCGATATTAACTAATATTGATTTGATGCCGGACAACCAACATACAATGATATAGGATGCAGCATAGCTTCTCCACCTATTTACTAGTGACGGTCAAACTGAGCATGAGGTCCGTCACCACGGTCATGCTAGTATCATCTAAGCGACCTGAGGCAGACTCCGCTAGCGGAGTCTGCTCATTCGCATTGGCATGTATTGCTTCGCTCGGTGTCTCCAACTTGTCAAGACGGGCAATGATAAGCCAAGCAAACTCCTGTGCTTGACCAATGAAGCCCGTATCCTGCCACGACTCGCGCTCCACTGTGTTATCGACGCTGTCACTTCTCATGGGCCAGAGAGCTTGCCACCTCGCCAATGCGCTACGGACAGGCAACAAGCTCGTCGGCAAACAGGTGAATAGGCTTCGTTGTTGGAATACTATAGTGTGTAGCCCTGTAATCTATTAGCGGGGATTTTGGTACCGTTGTGACTTTGAGAAGATTGGGAAAATGGGTGCCTACCTGCGACTAGAGTGAAGAGACTTAATATGCTCAGATGTGCAAATCTAGAAGAGTGCTCGTCGTAAGTGTCGCGCATCAAAATACTGATTGCTTCTCCTTGAAGCAATGGCATTGAGCCCGGAATTGCGAAATGTTGGGAGATGTTGGTGTGCCAGCGTACATAGCAGTCTTTAGCATTGTCTGCCTGAAAGCAAGGTTCTGGAGTCGGCATCTCGAGATTCATCTCGTGAAGGACCATCCTGGGCGGGGTATTGTTGAATATCACAAAAGCTGTGTCTAGTAGGAATACATATGTGAAAGTCCTAAGTGGCTGGTAGTCAGCATCGTAATGCAGGTATCATGGAGTCCCTATAGTTTACCGAATCACTTCTTCACGCTCAATAAAATTCTGCCATGAAAAACTGCATTCGTCGACAAAGTCAAGAGGATAGTGATTCGAGGTTGCCAGACCGATCTCTCGTACAGCCTGTACCAAATGACGTTAAAATTGCAGATGGTTGAGGGTAAGGTTGCTCACCGATACGACAGCAGCAAAATGATGATGCCTCACCCGCCGCTTCATAGTGTCATTCCCTTCCCAGTTTAGTAAAATACAGGTAATATATGCTGCTTGTATAATTCTCAAAGGCGGAATATCGGTATCGGAGGCTGCCCTTTCAACTGGCTCTGCCGATAGGAGAGCAGATGAGAAGACAATCTCTTCTCCAAATTCCAGCCACTCCTTTGCCAAGCCTACCTCTTCATCTTTCGGGGACATACAGGCGCCTATAATAGCCATGGGAACCAGAAGCATTACCGGGGCGCAGACGACATCGAAGGCTGGTTTGTGTAAAATGGGACAGTGGGGATACCATTCATCCCAGAAGAGGTGAGTGAACTTTCTCAGATTCTCAGGGCAGAAGAATTGTAAACAACGCTCGTCGGTGCGCTCGGTATCATCCACGGATTGGAGGGCAATTTTCGATGACCTTATCCGTGAGGTACGGAAGCTGTCCCAAATAGCTTTCGTCTGAACGAACAGAGGGTCATCGAAGCTTTCGATCAGTCTTACCACACTCACTCTGTGCTGATCGTGATGCGACGACATTCCGCTTGAACCAGACGTCCTGAGATTGCCGCAGGATTCCTGTATTCCAGCTAACACAGCTTCAGAGGAAATACCATGGTGGTGAGATGGTTGATGGAAAGCGTGATCCGTGGTAATTGGTGGTAAACGGCAGCGTTTGTAATTGAACACCGACTTTAGACCCGACTGGTGTGTAAAGTTCAGCAGAAAGTCAAACGATGGCTTGAACTTTTTATTGTTGCCTTCTGAAGTAGATGGTGGGCTGTAAGAGGGCTCGAATTGACCATAGCCCGAGCCTTGTCCTACATTTTGGCTGTGAACCTCGTTATGAATAGAAGAATCCTCTGATACCTGCAATGGAAATTCGGCGTTCCAGTCCAAGTCTAGCCAATCCGGGTCCGTCGAATGTTGCAAAGAAAACGGTATGGAGAGGTTGAGATTGTCTGCAAAGTCATAGTTGGCCTCCAAGTCAGGAACAGACTCATCCTCCTCGCCAAAGCCCCGCGTAGTTTCCAGTGTTGTAAGTGGTGTCCGGTTCGAAGCAGACGATTGCCGCTTGTAGGTACATGAACAACTTTTGGTCGCGCAGTTTGAGCAGGGGAATTTTCGATCACATCGTTTCTTCGTGTGGGCGCATTGATCGCAGGACGTGGCTTTCTTCCCCACTGGAAGTGGTTCAGGCATCGCCACATCCCGATTAATGCGCAAGCTGCACCCTCGCAGATGCTTTCGTAGCACATCACTAACAGGACAAGAGTCAGAACAATTCCAAAGCAATCTGTTATGACGACGTGTCTCCTACTTACCGACGCTTGAAGCCAGAATGGCAAGCTTGGCATTTGAATGGCCGTGACGACGAATCTGTCGGAATTCACGATGTCAGCACTGGCGCACTCCCCTACTTAGGCAAACGAGTTTTCATCAATGATAACAATCGACAAGGCAAAAGACGTACGACATGCAAGATGTCGCCGGAGATGCTCGGAGCGTCGAAACGATGCATAACAGGTGGGGCAGATGAAGGATTCGATATCGTCGGACATATCGTACTCTATTCTGGTCTGCTCTACTCGATGGATGGAGGGATGGATGGATGGAGGAAGGAATTGGACAGGGCGGAAATTGAGCGGGGAAGCTCCCCAAGGCCCCACCCAGCCTACCTGCCCAGCTCAAGAGACTCAGGTTCAGGTTCAGATGCAAATGCAGCAGTCTAGATTTAGCGCGCTAAAATGATTGATCATCGATGGCTGCCGGATGTTGAAGTGTGTAATGGCTGGAAGAGAGTGAGTTGAGTGGTCATCAGGGCTTTCTGATCGGTTCAGACGTGGTTGCTCGCGGAGCCTCGAGCTGGCCATGTCCCCACGTCCAGGTAGAAGGACAGCACAAGAATAACCCAGGGACACAGCAACCAGCGGGGCCCCAGATCGGCCCAAGCGTGCGGGGTATGCGGCAGGACCAGGGACCCGGACAATTTTCCCGAGGCTCCTGCTTGCGGCTGTTGCCCACCCACAGCGCATGAGGTTGCAGCTTAGCGGCGGCACACCCCCACCCGTGGGATCCAAGGCCTACCTACTGGCCACAATCAGTGCCGGCCTTGAATACCGACACTCGAAGCGTGCAAGGCGGTACGGGAAGACATGCGATCGACCAGGTGTCAGTATCCCATCTTGGAGAAACGTGTAATTGTTGCTTACTTCTCGTCGCTGGTAACACCTCTACCCCTTCTTGACTATCAAAGCTACTGAACATAGTTCCAGATGGACATAAAATGCCACTTATCTATTTCTTTTACTCTTACCTTAAGCGCACCTTCGAAAGTTTTGCAAAATGGAGCTTGTTACAAGTTTGCATTAACTCGAGTGGAGTTTTACGAATTCGTTTATGAGACTCGGCAAATGATGTGCCCCCATTTCGCTCGCGTGTTATTGCAAATTGAAAATAAACAAAATATATGCTACTCCTGAAACGAAGCCTAACAGATATGCCCTCGTAACATACGGAAAAATAAATGCTTCCCCAGCCACTCGGGGCCAGGCTATGGGGTAAATTGCGGAAATCGATTCCCCTCACAAACAGGCCCAGAAAGAAAAAGTAAACACCCGGGGGCTGAGGTTTTGTTTACCAGCCAGTAACAATAAGTCATGCAACCCTTTACTAAGTAGCCAAGTTATTATCGGTTCGCAGTTTACTCTTAACCATCCAATTCAGACATGGCGTCGCTCTTTTGCATAGCTTCTCTTCGTGGTGGGTGAATGCCGACATGGCCATGACAATGGCGGGGTATTCTGTTTTGGGTTTCAATAGAATCTGCCAAGATGCATAGAGATACCCCGCACTGAGCTAGGTCTGCCCGCATCAGAAGCCTAGAAATAGTGTTCAGCTCTCCCAGAGCTCCAAGTTCAAATTTGGTCAAAGCCACCGGCGGTCACCGAACTCATTATTCAAAATATACGTCTCGTCCAACCTCTTCATCGTCTTCCTAGAGCACCATTTAATACTCTCCACCACTCATCCGTTTTAGCACTCGTCAATTCAGACGGCGCATCATTTCCCATAATCTCGAAAGTGGTTGAATACCCCCAATTCTCATCATGCCTGCGACATTGAAGAGCGGGTATGCCGCCAGCGACCCCAATGCAGATGGTCCTACTGCTAAGCCATCCTCCAGCAAGAAAATTCCAAACCTACCAACTCAGCCTAAGGGATCGCAACATTCCGGCGGCCCCCTCACCCTGCCCCCAGGATTTACTTCGGAGGTATACGATGAGTTCATAGCCGCTGCGCGGCAGATACTTGGGGAGCAAAATGTGACTGTGATTACGGATGTTGCACAGCTGAGTCTTGAACACTATACAGATCCCTCGAAGGTACATGATATGCACAACGTGGTTGAAAAGACATATTTTGTAGCATCGGCTGTTTTGTGTCCCCGAGATGTAAAGGACGTTCAAGACATCATGAAGCTGTGTAACCAGTTCGAAATGCCTGTTTGGCCATTCTCTATTGGGCGGAAGTAAGTATCGCTTTGCGAGTGTTTTTATTCTTGGCTCTGATATCTTGCAGTACTGGATACGGTGGCGCTGCACCTCGGGTGCCTGGAAGTGTCGCCCTTGACCTTGGAAAAAATATGAACAAGATTCTGGAAGTCAACGTCGAAGGCGCTTTCGCACTCGTTGAACCTGGCGTTACATTCTTTGACTTGCACGAATACTTGGTTAAGAACAACCTGCGTGATCAACTTTGGATTGATGTCCCAGATATTGGCGGTGGATCGATCATTGGAAATGCTGTTGAGCGTGGGGTTGGGTATACACCATACGGAGGTAAGATACTCAACATCTGTGAGAAGATCGAAATCTGATAAAACAAGATCACTGGATGATGCACTGCGGTATGGAAGTCGTTTTGCCCAGCGGAGAACTTATCCGTACAGGCATGGGTGCACTTCCGGATCCATCACGTCCACACCCTGACGGGCTCAGGCCTGATCAAGTTCCCGGAAATCGAGCGTGGCAACTATTTAACTATGGCTTTGGACCCTATAATGATGGGATATTCTCCCAAAGCAATTTGGGTATAGTCACGAAAATGGGAATTTGGGTCAGTTGAACTCCGATCTTTTGTTGGTCCTATTTTTAATTTGAGTAGCTCATGCCAAATCCCGGAGGTTACCAAGCATATCTCATCACACTTCCCAGAGACGAAGATCTCCACACAGCACTCGATATTATTCGACCTCTACGTCTAGTGAGTTCCATAACCCTTCAACCACAGTGAATATCTCCTAATGCCTCTACTAGCAAATGGTCCTTCAAAACGTGCCAACGCTTCGTCACATTTTGCTTGATGCAGCTGTGAGCGGAAATAAAAAGTCATACACTCAGAAGGACGAACCGCTAGACGACGAAGAACTGGATGCCATAGCCAAAAAGTTGAAACTTGGTCGATGGAATTTCTATGGTGCTGTCTATGGACCGGAGCCCGTACGAAAGGTATTGTGGAGCGTCATCAAAGAAGCCTTCTCGAAAATTGAGGGAGCACAATTCATTCTTCCCGAAGAGACCAAAGACCACCCAGTACTTCAAACTCGAAGCGGTACCTTGCAAGGAATTCCTTCTCTCGATGAGCTGGCTTGGGTCAACTGGCTCCCCAATGGTGCGCACTTATTCTTCTCTCCAATTGCCAAGATTACAGGCGATGACGGTATGCTCCAATACTCGATGACAAAAAAGCGGTGCAAAGAAGCTGGGGTTGATTTCATCGGGACTTTCACAATTGGTAAACAGCTCTTCATCCACAGGTGCATCCCAATGTACTGACTGAAGGAATAGGTATGCGCGAGATGCACCACATTGTCTGTATAGTCTTCGACCGCTACAACAAGGAGAAACGCGACCGAGCTCATTGGCTGATTCGAACATTGATTCAAGACGCCGCAGAGCACGGCTGGGGTGAGTACCGGACACATCTTGCCCTCATGGATCAGATTGCAGATACATACTCTTTCAATGACAATGCTCAGAGAAAGTTGAATGAGACTATGAAGAATGCTCTTGATCCCAAAGGAATCTTGGCCCCGGGTAAGAACGGTGTGTGGCCCTCGAATTATGACCGGGAGGCTTGGAGGATTCCAGGTCCGGACTCTCTGTGATGCATCTTTTTGAACTTCTGTTAATAAGTGTTTCAATGGATACTCTAAAATATTGTCAATAGCCAATGCATATCTTATTGTAACACACATTACTTCGGCGATTCTTCTGCTGATCTGTGCTGCCGGTACTCTCCCAAATCTTGAAAAGTAGGGGGGTCGGGGTTCGGCTATTGTCATAAACTCACTGTGTACCAAAAGATATTCTCACAGCAAGTGAGATTTAGTCCTTCGTGAGTCGTGTTCTGTAATTCTAACAAACGAGAAGTTAATATCTTACCTACGATCTGAATGCTGCAGCTATTGAGTAATAAATTTTGTAAGATAAGAGGGTCCCAATAGCTGTTACATATCGGGAACTCACCCCACCCTACTTTAGAATCACGGCACCGTCGCCTACTCGTCGATGGAGAAGACCGGACGTTTCTTCGCTCATGGGTCACGTACTCATCTGAGTTTTATCCTCTCGAGTCCCCATTGAGGGTATATCCGCCAACTTGCAGTTATCCGACAATATGCAGTTTATGGGTAGTGTACATTCTCAACGAAGTCAAGCGTTGCAACCTAAAAGCACAGCATTTCCCGTAAGAGAATTCCAACCTTCATACTTCCTCCTAAGCCAGCCTCAGCAAAATGAATTGTGTTGTATTCAGTCTCTGATTTATTCGGATGCTTTTAATCTGCTGAAAAATGCTCGCCACCGACCCCTTGTCACTTATTGGCGTGATCGTCAACCGCTGCAGAGCTCTCCCGGGGCCACAAACAATGTTTTGACAGTTATTGATGAAGTCAAGAATCTGCATCCATCGATTCAGAGTTTTGAGGAGGAAGTCAAATCACTTCGCCGCCCACTCGATGCCATTAGCGGCGGCCTTGCCAGTCTTTCCCCTGCCGATGCGACAGCAAAGATTGAAGAAATTTGGAGGCTTATAGCCAGCAGCGCACAAATCGATCCATGATTGCGGCTTAGCTATCCACCAACTCTATGATTGCCTGAAAGAATTCAAAAAAGAGAGCTCTGATTTTCACAGCAGAATTTGAAGACAATAAAGTTCAGTCTACGGGAACGATAGCTCCAAGTGCTAAGGACCCGAATTCAGATTCACAATACATCGTTGCAATTGGTTCTGCAGACGATATCAGTGTACTTGGGCCTATTCATTTTATTTGATCAGCTGCTAACGACGTTTCAGTCATCTCTGCTCTCTGTCTCCTTTGATGACCAAACATGACTTGGGTGAGAAGATTGATACTGGTGCGCAATATTTCGCAACACAAAGTCTCACAAACTCCAAACCTAGTGTAGATAATCCAGGAGATGCCAGGTTTGGTAAGCCGCCCAAAACGTACCACGATTTTAGAATAATTTGAAAAAGATGCTCAGACGAGATAGCACTTCATTAAGTAATTAGCAAAGAATATATTATAAACGAATTTAATTATTCTTTCTTATTTATAAATAGAATATTATTAAGAACTATATAAAGCATAAATATATATCTTATATATATTAATTAAATACTCGATAGTTAGAATAAGGCGCATTACCTTTTAATATCTCTCTTCTAGTATTTATTTTCTAGTATTCCTCTTCTAATATCTTTATTTAATATTCTTACTCGATCTCTTTTCTTTTAATATCTCTTCCTTAAAACATAATATATTACCTCCTAGAATTTTTATTATAATACAATAACCGTTTATATTTTAAATAATTTTTATTAACTTATTAATAACTTATTAATAACTCTTATTATAATATAATATTAGAAGTAAAAGAATTAAATATAAATTAAAAACTATTTAGAGACAATAATGTATTAAACTAAAGGAAATATTATATATTTGCTTGTAATATAATAAGGAAAGAAATTTTAGTATATTAGAATAAGAGGCATTTAAATATATTTAAAATACTAATATAATAAAAGCTTTATTAAATATTAATATAAAATTTATTTATTAAATAAAGTAAATATTTCTTTTAAATATTATAAACTAATAAAAGTCTTATAATTATAGCTAGTATTAAAATTAATAAATAAGTAATAATACTTTTATAAAGAAAATATATTATATATATATATATATATATATATATATATATATTATATAAGGCTATTAAGGTTTATAGCTATTTAAAAATAATAAGAAGCAAGAAAGATATTAGATTAAGCTATAATATATATATAATATATATAATTAAGTTATAAGTTATTAAATATATAATTAATTATAATTTGTAATAAATTATATACTTTAAAATTTATAAAATAAGAAGTTATAATACGCGAAATCTTATTTTAAATCTTATTTATTATAATTAAGAAAGAATTAATAAGAATTAAAGATATATAAATAAAGAGCTTATTATTAACTTTATTTTAATAATTTACTTATTAATATTAGTATATTATACTTATATTTTAATTTACTAAATCTTGCTTTTTAATTACTTTATTTATTTGTTTTAATTCGTTTTTATAATATATATAAGGTTATATATAACTAAATTACATATAATAAATCGCGAGTATTATAAGTATTAAATAAGGAAATTAGTAACTCTTATATATTATTATTATATTACTATTTATATTATAAGCTTTAGGCTTATAAATTTCTAATTATATATATATATATATATATATTATCGGGACTTCTTATTTAAAGAAAGCTTTTCTGAATCTTATAAAAGAAATAAAAATTAATTTTATATTAAATTAAATTTTATAGTTTTATAACTTATTACTTACTAATAAATACCTTATAAACTAATTTTTTTACTCTTAAAATAAGTAATTTAATAAGTAATTATATCTCGAAATTTGTGAAATATATAATTTCTAATTAAATTTATTCTTATAAAAGAAGTTAACTAAATTAATAATAATAATAATAATAATAATAATAATAATAATAATAATAATAATAATAATAATAATAATAATAATAATAATAATAATAATAATAATATAATAATAATAATAATAATAATAATAATAATAATAATAATAATAATAATAATAATAATAATAATAATAATAATAATAATAATAATAATAATAATTCTAGTAATAATAAAGATATTATAATTAATACCTAAATTATTATTATTTAAGTTATAAAATAAAGCTTATATACTAAAATTAAAACTCTTTAATAAAAGCAAGAATTAGTAAATGTAATTAATTAATATATTTTATAATTAAAGTAATATAAAAATATTTTTAAAAAATATTTTTAAAAAATTATATTTTATAAAGGTTTTATTTATAAGTTTATTTCGTTTTCCTTAATAATTCCTATAAAAAAAACTTCCTAAAATAAGATTAAAACTCATTCTTTTCTCTAATATAATAAACTTTAAAGGTAGTTTTAATATTATTTATTAAAAGCTATTATATAATATCTTAAAAATATATTTAAATTAAAAGAAATCTTTTAAGATTTAAATACTTAACTTATATTATAAAAAGTTTTTTTTTAAAGAATAATAAGCTTTTATATTTTCCTAATAAGTAGTTTTTAAATCCTAACTTTAAACTTATAATATATACTTTTTTAAAATTAATTTTTAGAAATAAAGCTTATTAATATATAAGATTTATTAAAAGTAATTTAAGAATTATTTAGCTAATATATTTTAAGGATCTTAAACTTATTAATAAGATACTTTTAAAAAACTTCAAGATCTTTAATAAAAGAATAATAAGATAATTATTGAATTATATATTTAAATAATTAGTTTCGAAATTAATTAAAATTTATGCCTTAAAGAAATTAAGCTTAAACTTTTAATATTACTTCATTTAATTTTAAAACTTATTAAATACTTTTATTTTCTTAGGAAATAAAATAATATTTGTTTTTAAATAACTTAAAAAAGCTTAAAAAGCAAAATATATTACTTATTTTAAATTAAGAAAAATAAAAACAAAGAAGTTTAGTAAAAGTAACTTTATTTTTAAGAACTTTAATTTAGCAAATTCTAATTTATAAGGCTATTAAAAAAAAAGAACAAGTTTTAAAAAATATATAAGAATTTCTTAAATAATATTTTAGCTCTTTCTAAAACTTATTATAATATTAGTTCTAATTTAAATATAATTTATTAGACTTATAATTAGAAAAGAATTACTTTTTAAAAAATATAAAGTATTTTAAGTATAATAAATAAGCTTAGCAAAACTCTAATAAGGCTAAAACTATAAAGAATTAAAGTATTTATAAAAGCAAGTTTATGCCATTATTATAAAGATATATTTTAAAGAAGTTTCTTTAAAGAAATAAGGAAAATAAAAAACCAAATATTAAATATTAATAATTTTAATTATAATAAAAAAGATATATTACTTTAAATATTTATTTAGGTAAGATTATATAATTAAAAATAAGTACTGTGGTACGGCAAGCCGTACTCTATGAAAATCGCTTTGTTTTTGGCAGTTTTGAGGTTCAGGTCACATGGCAAAGGCTGGGGCCTTTCGCACGTGACTTGCGGGAATCACATAAGAAAGCTGGCTTTTCTGTAGTTCTAGAGAATAATCCCTCCTTTATATTCAATTAATTGGGCTTTTGTACATTATATACTATTTATGCTTTACTATTTATGCCTTTATTCCTGTTGTTTTATAGTCAAGTTATATTTTATATTCTAATATACTTTATATGAGTTTTTGTCTTATTATAGTTTCCCTCCTATAATACCTTAGAAATATATATTAAATTTAATAATACTAAGTTAAATTATAACTTTTTTAATAATAATTAAGTTTAAAGCTAAAGCTTTATTACTTTAACTAAATATAATTAAGAATTTATAACTTTTTATAAAAATAAATTTAAGATTTATTATAAATAATTATAGTAAAATATAGTTTTTAAAGCTTTAGTTTTATAAATATAAGAATATTAGCTCTTATAATTTTATTTTTAATATAGAATTTTATAAAGTAATTATTATATAATATATAAATTATATTAAAAAATAATAAATATATATATTTATATAATTTAATAATATTAAGATTCTTATATTAAGAGAATTTAGTAAAGAGATTAATT